GTGATATGAAGGAGTCCGTGTGAGGAGATGAAAGCTTATGGGGAATCTTGCAACCAGCTAAAGAGGACCGCAGAGAATAGGGCAAAGCGGAAACGTGTTGTTGCAACCCTATGTTCCACTCGGAACCCAAGGGAACAACAACAATAGTATTATGTCATGCAAGTTCTAAAGTTCTCATCTGAGTATTTTCGCTTATCACTAAGCCTATTGTAGTCACACCAAATTCTTTTTCTCTACCATTGTGTACCTTACTGAAATGTAGTGAATTAAGACGGCACAGTTCTAGTAGATTGTGACTAAATTGGAAAAAAAATTATTTGAGACATTCAGCAAGACTACACTTCACACCTTCCACTGACGAAACGGCAGATGAAGTACCATACGGTGATATACCAATTAGCGTGAGTGGAATTACTATTTAAGAAAGCAAGAGAACATCTTGAGTAATGAAAGATTGATTTATTGATCGCCCTAAGTGACCGATAAGCATCATGCGATGGATGAATCCATTTTTACTAGGTATGCAGAAAACTGATTCAATGAAATGCCTTCTGTGTATAGAAAACAACTTTAGAAGAAATTGAGGGGCATTTGTTTGAGAAAACAAACAGTTCCTGACAAACTGCGGATAATTTTCCCTTTTAAATATACTGACCGGAGGATATATGTGGTGTAACTATTTGTGACTGCAACCATTTATTCCTGAATATCCTTACGCTTTACTCATGATCACTTGGTAATAATACTTTGTAACATCTTTTGCAAAGAAACTGTACTAGGCCCCTTATTATTCCTATTATACGTAAACGAACTGTCGAAAATTCCCACCTTGTCTACACCACCATTTACGGACGACATTAAGATCTGGAAAACTGTAAATAATAAAGAGCTAAATAAATTAACTCAATGGTCTAACCCCTGGAGTTTGGAAATTATTCCATGAAAAACGCATTAATGCACTTACGTCACAGGTCTTAAACGTCGTACTCCCTGGAGGACAGAGAACTTCCCAATGTTAAGAGACAAAAGGATTTAAGTATTATTGTCGGCTACGGTTTGAAAACAAGTGCTTACTATAATGCGACTGCAGCTACGGCTTCTAAACGATTAGATGAATCTACGGTTAGGTTACTTTGCGCATCATGTCATGTCTCAACTAGAGAAGTGTATACGAGTGGCTAGTCCATGCTTCAAGGAGGTAAATATCTCGGAAAAAAGGGTCGGAACAAAAATAGTCGGTAGTGTCTCACGCCATGCTTATGATAAGACGATGGGACACTTAAACCTCTACCCAATATCATACCGAAGAGGGGGAGAAGCGACTCGATTTTGGCATATCGTATACTGAAGTATGATTTGGGGACTGACCTTTCTAATCTTTCCCCTCCCTGTAGAATACCACAGCAAGGCCAGCACAAAGTGCGGACAAATAAAGGAAGTGTGGAATTTAGATTATCTCACAGAGTGGTTAACGATTGGAACTCCCTATCCAATCAAGTAGTATCATCTCAATCCGTGAATGCTTTCAAAGATAAATTAGCTCTCTGCAAAGATGCGTATATTGCAAGGATTAATACAGGCCGCAACAGCCTAGTATCCCTATTACCTAAGTATACCTGAAATACTAAATAATTCTCTAGACGCAATACAAATACTTGAGAGGTATGTTATTACGGAAGCAATATGATTAGACTAACTAGATATAGGGGAGTTGAACGTTTAAGATCAAAGCGGAATACACATAAGACATGACTTTACTACTGTTGGCAGTTTTGCACAAATAAGAATGAAATTGGACACCAGTTCACTTATTCAATCCATGTAACGAAACTACTTCTCATAGCATACCACTAAAATGACCATTATCAGTCTCTCTCTCTCTCTCTCTCTCTATATATATATATATATATATATATATATATATATATATATATATATTCGAACAACCACATATGAATTCATCGCCGAACGCTAACCAACACAATTGTCTAGTCCTGACTGTGTTGACAAACAGATGTCGGAACTGACTGAGTTTTCAACTTAGCACGTAAATACAGTAGTTCAAATCGCTACGCGCCATATAGCACACAAAAATGTAGTTGTAGGAGAAATTCAACCAGATATGGAAAAGTGAGTGACTAATGTGTGTACAGCAAATATTTCATGAATCGAAACACTGTCATTACCTCATTGAAAATAAAAAACAATCCCCCCACTCACACACAATGTTACAATTACGTTAAGGATAGAAATCTGGCACCGTGGTAGAATATAAATCCATATCAGACATGCTTATATAACATAGCCAAGTGATAATGTGCCAATACCTGGGTGACGTTTCAGGCACAACTTGTTAACGTGCCACATATGGCCTTCCTCCTTACTGTCCTTTGATGCAACTATGGAAAGCTTTGTCGGCTTAGGGGACTGATACATCCAATTAGGAAAAACAGTTTAATTTATCAAATAGTGTGTGATGACTGTGCAGTCAAACTAGTAGATTACGGTCGGTTAAGTTATGATAACATAAGAACTTAGCCAGAAGTGGGATGATGGACCATGATATAGTGAGTGACTTAGCAAAAAGAATCAGGATTTCATCATGAGCTGAGATTAGAGAACCTGGGAGTACTGGTTCTCTAACTAATGTCAGCTCATGATGAAATCCTGAAACCAATCAAATCCCTACAAACCAACACTTGAAAAAAGAATCAGTTATCGTGATGCATTCATCAACAGGTAATCACACAATAGAGCTGGGCATAGGACAAAAGTGTTAAACAGTAGTGCATTTAAGTGATGGGGGGCTAACTGACTGGTATTTAACATAGAACTTAGCTCAGAAGTGCAACAGCTCAACTTACCACACTTCAAGCATCACATAAATGAAGACAGAAGAGATTTTTACAAGAACGATAACAACAATCAGAAATGCGAGGGAGAAAGAGTGGTAACATGGCAAAATAACAGGGTTTTATTGAATAAGGTAGATCACAAAGAGTCGATGTATCTGCGCCATATTACTAATTGTCTCTTACCACCTCGAAGACCTTAACCAGGCAGTCCAAACTTCCCTACTTGGTTTAAATTGACTGTTAACGACTGCATGCTTTCGTTTGACCACCACCGGCTCTTTTCCAACCTGATCCTATGTCAGCAAACTTTACTCCTCGAGTAAGGCGATGGCCAGGCAGGAGTGTCCTAGCCGTATCAATCGGTGTAGGTTCATAACCTCATCAACTGACTCCCACTCCTTACTTAACACATGACGCATAACCTCAATATTACTCATCTTATTACACCACATACCATGAGATGGGAGTTGACGAAGGAAGCTAATTACTGAATTTTTGTTCTTCGAAGCATGCTCAAACATGTGCAGTCGAAATATTGCAGCAGCACATATCCCATATACATGGGAAAGTGCAAAATGTAGAGAGAAGCAAGGCTATATAAAGGAGGTTATCAAGTTGTGTGAATATATCTGTATGATTATGAGCGACAAATTGTACCTGAAACACTATCCAGTTATTAACACTGTCAAATCAAATATTTAGTATGGCGTTATAATTACACCATGATGGAGAATAGCAACAAGGACGGAAGTTAGGTCCATGTCGTCCTGTTTATTAAACAATAAAATTTAACAAAAAACGTCGAAGCACTGTGATGCAATTAGAAATTGTGTAAGAGTTCGCATACAGAAGAACCATTTGAAGTAAATATGTCTCCTACTGGCATGACTTGACGCAATTTGGTGGGTGCATGCCTGGGGAATGTAAATCTGATGTCCAACTCTCACTGGGTCTCAACAAACAATCAAAAAGACAAATACTGATCGACAATGATATTTCTCCGTCTAAATCTTTCAGATGAATCATAAAAACCAGTAAACAAATGTTAAAAAAGTGACAGCAACAGCACGATATCGACCAGCTAAAGTCAACAATCAGATTGAATTTCTGTCTATGTAATCTGGAGACTTGACAAATATGACTACATACTTTGCAAGTACAAACAGTTTATACCTCAAACAGGAAATATTGAAAATGAGTTCCGCGCGAAGAAATTGAGTACTTTTTTCTTATGGTTCCCTTATCAACGCCCGAGTATGTACCACCAAAACATTCATAGATTGAGAGAACTAGTTCATAACTCATAGTTTAATTTTTACATAGACCATCCCACAGAAGCACGAAATCTACACACCTAGTTTCAAGAATCATCATGGAGTACATTGCCAGGATGCGCAGTTCTCAGAGCACTTGTAATAATTTATTTGACATGAGGCTTATTTACCTCATAGATTCTTATAAGCTGACTTCACAAGTGCTTTAATTTCGGTTGTTTGGTGTGAATCAATAACTTAATGTGCTTTCTGAGAGAACAAGGTGCAACAGTATTCAGAAGGGATCTAACTCTAAATGAATTACTTATTAATGTATATACGTTGACACAAACATCAAGACTGCTGCAAACTAAAGAGAATGTCCCTCTACTTTAAAGAAATACATATGAAAGCTTATAAGATGGAAATATATGAATGTCTACAATATAACAGTAAGTTTTATGATGAAAAACGCGTCTTATGTAGCCAGAGATGAAAACAAACGCATTCATCTCGTTTCTTTTGTGATATTGTTGTACTATACCTACGTAAAACTGTTACGATAACTCACACAAGCAAATTTGCCATAGACCACAAAAAAAATCGAAACACAAGGATTAATCCAAGGTAGAATATGTTGACAAATTCAATCAGACCGACATCTTGTATTCAAGAATCGGAGTGTTTTGAATCTGACAATATGGTGGGAAACCTTCTTATCTTAGCGTGAAATATTTTTATAGTGCTCACTGGACTAGTTACAATACGGGACATATGAACTTAGCAGGAGAGCTAAAAGGACAAGGAGAAACTATATTGCTGTGGAGTACTGGTTCTCACACCGAGTCATCAACTCTTGGAACCGATTCCCAGGTGAAATGGTGTCATCGTCGTCAACTGATTTATTCAAGAAGGGTCTGGACACGCACAAAAATTCACTAGAAAAGGATTGAAATAGGCCCCAAGGCTTATATCTTCAATCAACAAATAAGAATTCGAGTCGACACCCGGGAAAAGCATTATTTGATAGAACTATATCAGTTTTTCTGTCTAAGAAACTTAATCCTGCAAAAATGAATACTCAACTGAGGTTAAAACAACGCAACACGCTATGAGTAAGTTGGAATGTATATGATATTGGACATCAAGAATTCACCAAGTCATTTACAAGCACAAATTTCTGAGCATTCTAGGAGTAATGCCTTTGCTGTTTTGTATTCTTGTGTTTCACTAAATTCCTCTTCACACTCCTAGAAATAATAGGATATTATTTTTTAAGCGATCATACATACTTCAGCGCAGCTCTCAAGCTTTTTGACAGCATTTTTCAATCGTACTACGCAATCAGGAATCATCCTCTCGTTTTCTTCCAAAACTGCTTTCTATGTGAAACTAGTTAGCCCGAACAAATAGCATACCGCCATTTTTATTTCATATACATCAGCTTGTGCAGCAACTTTTTTTTCTACAACTTCGGTTTGCTTAATAATCTCTTCCTCATACTTGGTCTTATCTTTCATGATGCTTTATAAAATAAACAACTGATGAAGTATAGTTACCGCTTAACCACATTGGTATTGATCGTCAGGTTCCTTAGTCTGCTGTCTGTCATCACCCAGAACGACTAAATTAAATGCCCGCTACTGTGGCAGCAATCTAAGGTCAAGTTTTGAAATTCCTATTTTCAGACAGTGATATTTCACTGGGAGGTGAAGAATTCTGCTCTCTGTTAATTCTATCCTAAAAAATATGGTTGTCTGATCTCTTTTAACGAGTATAATTCTTCTGAAAGTCGGTTACATGACTTTGTGCCTCGATGAGATAACCAGTACACCAAAATATTTATATTCCTCCTTGACTTTCAAACTCTCCTAATATATCCTTTGAGATATCCCATAGTGCCAGAATGGAAAAGAGAACATAGATAGGGCCCATAGTCATTTGTGTGAATTATGAACACCGTGATTGAATTTCCACTTAACCTACAGCGCGCGAACTTTTGTTTAATCTCGACATTTGTTATATTATACTCCCCAATGGCCTATAAATTATTTTAAGTCAGTTTATTCTGATCGAAGTTAGTTTACTGTATAGTTTTGAGTCTATTTACTCATGCGCAGTGTGTTCTTATAACTGTATAGTTGTCATGTATTCATTTTTGTAAACGCATTGGTCATATATATAAGGTCAAGTTCGAATCTTTTTGTCCCAACTCACTCTGTAAAGCATGCCTATAAAAAGGAACGCTATGAAGAGTCGTGTGTCAACTCCCAGTTGAAGAAGGAGTGTAGTGTGATGGCTGCAAGAGATGGTTTCATAGTATGTTAACATACCTAACTCCTGCAGCATACTAGCGCCGCTTCAGACCTCTGGGGAACTGGCTGTGCAGCAACAGCTGTGGTACGACTATGCTTCGTATGACGGAAGCCGTTGTCACTCTCGGTGAGACTCCAAATCCCCTGGACTTCAAGCTTCCTACACCACAGGGGAAGAGCGACTACTACTCAGATACTAATGACGTGACTAGCGTCATCGACAAAACAATGCCCGTTCCTGGTGAGTCACTTTTAGGGTTTAGAGGTTGACGGAATTGTCTTACACAGCCTCTTACTTATTAGTTCTCGCGTACCAAAGACAAAGCAAAAGCCAGTATTTGATCGTCCAAACTACGTGATATATTTCGGGACCAAAACAAGCCGTCAGACGAACGCTTAGCTGGCTAGTGATCGTGCACGTGACACGACGGGGTACCAAATTGTGGAGATGCTTGACCGGAAGCCTTCAGCTAAACAAGTCGACTTAAACAGTGGTGGTCAGCATCCAGTGGTGAGTGATTGCTGCGGTCAATAATTTTGGGGAATTATTTACCGCTACAAGGGAGCTGAGTGCCCTTCATCACAGAAGAGCACCCACCATATTCCAGAAACATATGCTGCCTCTCAAGGTGCCGGATAAGCCCTCCGGTGACATTATTGGAAAGACTGGCGCGAAGAAGAGGCGTAGCATGAGTCGAAAAACGCAGCTGAAGCAGTCGAGGGATCTGCAGAACAAGCGTCATCTCCGCCGAAGAATTACAGACAGATGCGATCGACTATGTCTAGAAGGGAGGACGCCAATGAATGGCGCAATCTAGTCTATCTCAAAAGGCGATATGAGATCACCATAATGGCCACATTGTCCACGAAGTACGGAAAGCCACTTGCGTCTCAGAGCAAGGAAGGGATAGCGAGCAAACCTGATCTCTCTGACAGGTTGTTCATTCTCCGAAAAGTGGAGGGATCATCGGCCTCCAATCCCAGGCTCAAGCACGATCTTAACTTGATTAAGCGGCTCTTAGATAATCTGCTGTCAACAATAATATTAAGCGTGGCCATACTCAGGTTCTAGAGAATCCGCCAAAAGCCTGACTCGACAGTAAATCAGCCAGTATGCTTCCTCAAGGCCTTACTGAAGCTCAAAGAAGAAAGGAGTGTCATCCTAAGCAACTGTTAGATTGTCCGTGCCGACTTAAGACTAGCAGACCTTGCCAAAAGAGAGTCTACGACCCCGTAATTAAGCGAATGACGTCGGAACGGCGACAAGAACCTATTCTGGTAGTAAAAGCTCATAGTTTGATGATCCCTAAACCAAACTGAACTGGAAGTTTCCTACAAAAGCTAACGCAGCCCGTTGAACAAAAGGACTGGACTGGTTAATATGATAGATTCCGAAAATCCTGATGAAATTATCATCACAGAGACATGCCTCACACACGATGTCAATCCAAACGAAGTACATCTGCTAAAGATTGTAGTGTATAGGGTGGACCAACTAAGCCACAAAGGAGAAGCGTGGTCATCTGCCTCAAGAAATGCGCAGCATAGATGCACTTGCTCACGAAAGTGAACCGTGCGAACTTGTACGCTGCAGACTTAAATGTATAGGCCAAGATATTGACCTCATTGCTTAGTACTGCAGTCCTGACTGGAGCGCATATGACTTCCTAGTAGAAAAACTAGGTTCTTGGACATCAAATGTTGAACTCTCGTAGCTGGCGACTTCGACGCCCCAACAGTCGACTAGACAGGCCTTACAACGCCATATTCAGACAACTCCTTTGATTATAAACTGTTGGAATCTGGCGTCTCGCTAGCCCTAGTCTAACATGTCATAAAGTCTATGGACTATGACCTCCAGCACTCCCTTTCAATTCTGGACCTAGTGTTCCCCCATGGTGGGGATGTGGATCTCATACATCATCCTCCTTTATAAGGAAGTGATCACGCTGTGCTTGCTTTCAAGTTCGCAGTAGCAATGTCATAGACTTAAACCCTAGCTCGACCAAACTTTTAGAAAGCTGATATAAATGCGACCATCTCAGCAGCCAACTCAGTGAACTAGTACATAAACCCAGAGTTCAAAGTAGAAGCCCCATGGGACCAGTTTGAACAACTCAACGCCCGAGTAACGGAACTTTTCATCCCCTGGTGTGTCCCGAAGGGTCGGGAACATTATCCCCTTTAGATGAAACGACAGATTCGTAAGTTACTCAGACGTAAACACATAACCTGTTTGCTACACTTCAGACTCCTGAGACCAGTAAATTACACAACACCATCAGGAACAAAGCTATTGCAGAAATTCATCAGTCACGTATGAAGTTCGAAGCACATCTGCCTGAAAATGCAATGGCACAAACTAAGAAAATTTCCTCGTTTATGAACTTCAAGAATAAGACATCCGTTAGTATCCCAAACGTGATTATTGGCAATGAAACAATCGAATAAATTCAGGAAAAAGCAGAAGCAATGGCAGGCTACTTCTCACAAGTCTTTACACTTGACTAGTCACTCCCCGTAGGATCAGCTCCAACTGCGCCACAGGAATACGGGATAGATTCCGTTGACGTTGGCCAAGACATCGGGCTCAACTGTCCAATGAAACTAGATGAACAACAATCAATAACCTTCGTCCAAGGCTTCTCAAGGAGTTATCAGCTAACATGGCCGGTCCTTTGACCACGATATTCAGACTCTATCCCATCAGTGGAGTGTTAGGGCGTGACTGGAAAGACTGAATAGTAAATTCATCCACAGAGGAGGTTCGAGACTAAGCCTTTCAAAATACAGGCCTATTGACCTAACCAAGAATTTATTCAAGAAACTGGAAGGAATCATCAAAAAAGTGTCACGGCATATCTGGAAAAGAGCAATTTATTGCCCGTCAAATCTCACTTCCAGAGAAAGCTGGGTCAGATAGAAGAACAACAGAAGACCCGTTGACGTCGTCTTCATAGGCTTCAGCAAAGCCTTCGATGAAGTTCCCCATAAAAGGCTACTCATGAAGTTGGGAAGTGTTGGTATCAAAGGCAGCTTACTAAACTCAATTAGGGAGTTCCCCATAGATAGGAAGCAGAGGGTTAGGATCAACTCGAAACTCTCCTCCTAAACGGTAGCGCGTGGTGGAGTGCCGCGTTGCAAGAGGACCTCAACAAGTTGTCAGAGTAGTGCAGACAATGGATGCTCTCAACCACCGTAGCGAAATGTGTAACCATAAGCACCTGACATGCAATCACCAGCCGATACGAACCAGATGGAATAGAAGTCCCTTCAGTTCATACCCATTTGGATTTAGGTATTTAGAAGCTAGGGGTGCTGATGTTCGTAAATAGTATGAAGTATACTAACGGAAGATCTTATAACCGCAACTTCCGCGTAGACCAAAGGCAAAAATACATCAGAATTAATCGTCCGATTTACGAACCATATTTCGGGGCCAGATCGCAGTGTGAGATGATTGCTTAACTAGCTAGGGATCATGCACCAACGAACGAACGCAACACGATGGTGCACCAAATGGCATTAATACTTGACCGGAAGCCTTCAGCCAAACAAATCGACTAAAACAGTGAGAGTCAGCATCCAATGTTCAGTGATGAATGGTGTGGCAAATAAGTGTGGGGAATTATATATCGCTAGTGGTGTCATGGTAGGTTACGTTTTAAAGACTATGGCACACTGTCGTGTGGTGGCTGCACGCAGTTTCAGATCCCTATGGGCAATTCACAGAGCCTTTACTAGCATCGTCAGAGATACATTTACAGACACAAATGGAGCAAATGGAGAACCCTGGAATCGACCTCGGCACCATTTCATGCAGTAAAACAACCCAACATGACCTTATCTAATTTTCGCCTCCACGATCAAATTTCTTTCCTGTTATAAAACTACGATAAGACTGCTGAAAAATGGAATAAATATATCACTGATCTCAACATAATACATCAATTAACTTCAAGCCATAGGTGCTGTTCACAACAAAGTTATATAGGACAATTGACTTCAAGCTTTATTTTTCCCACATATTTGTATAACATCCATCTGATGTCTGGGTTTTTTGTTAATGCGAAGACAATATTTCTATATTTCTTTATTTGTTGCACAAACAGACTTTATAGCAGACTGTTCCGATGGACTCTAATGTCAGAAAGAACAACCACGCTGTAAATTCATCACACCAAATTATGTGTAATTTATATGATAACTTATCAATGCCTGTACAATTGGTATGTTCCTGCATAAACAGGAAGAAATATACATTATTACCTGCTTTCATACATCTGTGGTGAGTCGAAGACTGGAAAATTGTATCCGGAGAGCCAGACTTTGTCTTGAAGGGGAAAACATGTTCTATAAAGGGTTTGGAGGAATGCAAGATGTATGACTATCGGCATGAGTAACTTATCGTACGAGGAAAGACAATATAGCTTAAATCTCTTCTTCCTATCGTACTGCACGTAGGC